AGCGGGCAGGCCAGGAGGGGTCTTCCACGCCATGTGGTCACCTCTGGGACTGGCAGGATCAAACTTATTCAGAAGTGGCTTTAGCTTCTTAGTGCAGGGCTCCAACCTGCTGTGCCACCAGGGAGGGCCCCCTCTCATTACATTTTAATTGAAGAACCAATCATGGGTACCTGAGAAGAGTCTCTAACTAGAAAAAAAAAGAAAAGAAAGAAATAGGTAAAGCACAGAATATGGAGAATAAGACTTCATAAAGTTTCTTTTCCACAGAAAGAGGAAATAGTTTGTAAGCAAGAAACAATAACTGTCAGGGAAAAAAGTATTGGAGGAATGAAAAAGATGACTTGGAAATTAAAAGTGGAGATGCATTATGGGGGAAGTGGGTGTGATGTCTCCTCTAGCCCCCAAGATTGCCTTCCCCTTTTTTTCTGTCTCCCAAAAAAGTTGGTGATGACATTGCATGGCAACTATGGATTGTAGTAAAACTGACCAGTCAAGAGCAGGAACTTCCAGACTGAGGTGGTAACCTCTGCCCTCATCACTAATGCTCTCAAGGAACAACTGAGAAACAGAAAGAAGCAGAATAATATTAAACACAATTGAAATATCACTTTTGATGAGATTGTCAACATAGCCTCACAGACTCAGCTCCGACTTCTAGCCCAAGTACTCCTGCACCATTAAGAGACCCTGGACAGGGCCCTCCCTGGTGGCGCAGCAGGTTAAAGCACAGCACTAAGTAGTTAAAGCCGCTTCCGCATGGCCATGGCGTGGCAGACCTCTCCTGACCCGCCCGCTGATCCCCTCAGCAGTGGGTGTACTTCGTCGATCTGCCTGTTCTGCTCCCCACTCTATCTCTGGTGGATCCTCTTATTCCCCCTGCACCTCTGGCCTGTACCCTAGTTCTTGTATGTATATACATAAATGAATAAATCTTTAAAAAAACCCGATAATTCTAGCAATTTCCACCACCTGTAATTCCTTTTTTCTTGGTCTTTCTTCATCCCATCAAATTCCTCACATCCACCCATCTCCATCCAATCTTTAATAATGCTTCTTTTACTACTCTGAACTGTTGGAAGGGTTACAGGGTAGCCCAGAGTGGACTGGGCCGCCTGTCTATGGGGCCTCACCTGCGCGCTCACAACCGCAGGGACACACAAAAGGATCAGTAACTGGTTTATTTAAAAAAGGGGAAAGGAATAGGAAACAACCCAGGGAAAGAGAGCGGGATACAAAAACAAAGTAATTGCAATACCTTACAGCTAGGCTGACTGAACACACCAAGTCACGCGGTGCACGCAGTCCCGAGAGCTACTTCCCAAGCAAGCCAGAGAGAGATAGAGACAGAGTGAGCGCCAGAGCAAGCAAGCCAGACCGGCAATCAACCCCTATTTACCCCCCACCCCCCAAAATGTCCCAGAATTCCTGCTGGCTCTGCTCTGGGTCCTGCAGTTCTCTCCCTGGTACTGCCGGGAGTTGTAGTTTTCAATTGCTGGAGTATTGTGTAGGGTCCAGAAAGCTGGAGTAGGGGGTGGAGTCCATAAGACTGCAAAGTTCCTTGAGGACTCTTTCCCCTTAACAGAAGCACTACACCAACCAACACTTGCCTGGATTTACATTTGCCTTTTTTTCTTTAATTATTTCACCTTTAAATGCTAAATTCCCAACTAGATTGAGAGGCTTTGTAAGTTTCCATTCCGTGCATCCTCCACAACACATCCGATGTGAGTTGAAACAAACTTAACTGTTGACTAAGTCAGATTCAAAGTTGTTACAGAGTTATGGAAAGTGAAAAAGCCCTGGCGGGAGACGGAGAATAATTCCCGAAACAAGACGGGCAGAACCCGAGGGAGCCGATAAGCATTTATAGGCCACTGTACAGCCGATCACTGCCACAGTGTTATCACTGCCAGAGAGGCGAAAGAGTGATACCAAGGGAAGGGGTATGACATGCAGTAATGTAGACACTCGGCTTCTTTTATTTTTTTCTAGATTATTAACTAACTCCAAACTCCCAGCACCCCGCATTGTAAGAGCTTGTCTGCAAGCCCTCTACCACGAACTTCCACGCAGTTGGCTTTTCCTATTCTATGCCCCTTGATAAAAAGTGGGTACTTTGTACATGATGGCTGAATGCACCTATGCACGCATGCACAAGGAACTGATGCATTCAGCGCTAGCACTGCACCTTATCTACATTTATAGGACTAGATGCAGCCCCGTACACATTTTGATACAGTATTTCAAACGTATACTCTTGGGGTCTCTAGGAGGGTGGCTCCTCGCCCCTTAGACAACAAGGTCTGCAGATGGCCCAGCCACAAAACGCAGAGGCGGGGCTTGCGCCTACCCGACCACACCCCCACGCGTTCAAATTCTTCCGCCTACCGCCCGCCCCCTCCGGCCCAACGGGCAATTCTAATTGGTGAACGCTCCAATCCGTCTGGACACAGCGGCGTCTATTGGATCAACTGCTGAATCGGGGTTGCGCACTTCCCGGCGTCGGGTACGCGACGCGGACGTAGGTTTGCCGCCATTGTGCTTTGAGGAAAGAGGCCGTCTGTGTGAGGGCGTATGTGGTGGGCTTCAAGGGTGGGGCTGTGGGAGGCTGGCTGGGAGGCGGCTGAGTAGCTGGAGGACTGGCCCAGGCCGGCCTGGGCTCACTCTAGACGAGGCGGGACTGCGGGCCGTGGGGCCCAGGCGCGTGCCGCTGCACATCTTGTGGGCCGGGCCTAGCGGATCCGTATTTTTTTTTCCGCTGCCCTACAGATTCTCCGGGGATGGCCGGAGTATTTCCTTACCGAGGGCCGGGCAACCCGGTGCCCGGCCCTCTAGCCCCACTGCCGGACTACATGTCGGAGGAGAAGCTGCAGGAGAAAGGTGAACGCGTGCGGAGAGGCGCCTGCGGGCCCGGAGGCGTGGGGGTGGGGTGCGCGTGCGCGCTCGGGTGTGTGGTCCCTCCTGTTAAGTGTCAAAACATTTCGTTGTCAGCTCACTTCCTAGCCCCATTTATTTTTTTCATCTAATCAAGTCTTGCAGACAGTGATTTAAATAGTGGAACTACAATCATGAGAAAGACAAAACCCTGCCTTATACCGCAGGGAGGCAGAAACACACAAAAGAACTTCAGAAATTTGTAACAGAAATGTGATAATGTGGTGCTAACTGTGGTGGTGGTGGGGTAACAGCGGGAGATGACATAGCTGAAGTAATTTGCAAGCCATTCCTGTCATATCCCTGACAGGAGCTTACCTAGAGCAAGTGAGGGTAATGATGAGGCTAATGGGGTGCAGTTCCTGAAACCGAGATGTCTTTGTAGCCCGAAAATGGCAGCAGCTGCAAGCCAAGCGTTATGCCGAAAAGCGGAAATTTGGATTTGTGGATGCCCAGAAGGAAGACATGCCCCCAGAACATGTCAGAAAGATCATCCGAGATCATGGAGACATGACCAACAGAAAATTTCGCCATGACAAGAGAGTCTACTTGGGGTAAGGAAATGTTTTATTTGATGTATGAGCCTTTTCCTTATCCACATCCTATATTGCAGTCCTGGATAGCTGTTCTGTTGTTTCAGGACAAAAAATCTTTCACAGCCTGCTTTGTAGAATGTGAGAGAAGGAAAAAAATACAAGAATTCTGAGATGGTTTCCACATCTTTCAGTTCTGTTCTTTAGTGCCCTGATCTGGAACTAGAACTTTCTTTTACTCTTTTTTTTTAAAGACTTATTTATTTATTCATACAGAACTGGGGTACAGGCCAGAGATGCGGAGGGTGACAGAATTCACCAGAGACAGAGTGGGGAGCAGAACAGGCAGATCGACGAAGTACACTGCTGAGGGGAGCAGCAGGCGGGTCAGGAGAGGTCTGCCACGCCATGTGGATCTCCTCCAGGGCAGGCGGGGATCGAACTCATGCGGAAGTGGCTTAAGCTTCTTAGTGCAGTGCTTTAACCCTCTGCACCACCAGGGAGAGCCTATTCATTTTTTTTAATGATTTACTTATTCACGCAGGAGCTGGGGTACAGGCCAGAGGTGTGGTGGGTGGGGGTAGTGAGAGGATTTACCAGAGACACAGTGGGAGCAGAACAGGCGAATTGACCAAAATAAACTGCTGGAGACAAGCAGGAGAGGGCTGCTGCACCATGTGGGTCAGCTCCCTGTCTGGGGATAAACTTGTGCTGCAGTGGGAGCCAATAGCTTCATAGTGCTAAGACAACCCCATTTGCCACAATTTGTCTTGTTGATTCTTTGATAAGATGTCCCTATCTGAAGCCCACAGTAGAAGTTTTGTGTAGTCTTGTTGCTTATAATACCTCAGTGACCAGAATTTTAAGACTTGGAGGTATTTAACTCCTGAGGTCCTTATGCTCTTGTATTTCACTCCCACCAATCTGGATAACAGGTGAAAAAAAATGTCTTAGAATTTACTGTAGAATGTGGTACTATGATATTCTGTAGCTTTTTTGCATGGGTACAAATAGCAGAGCACCTTGTCACTCCTGATAATTTCTCTTCTTAATGTTGCAGTGCCCTGAAGTACATGCCCCACGCAGTCCTCAAACTCCTGGAGAACATGCCGATGCCTTGGGAGCAGATTCGGGATGTGCCTGTGCTGTACCATATCACTGGGGCTATTTCCTTTGTCAATGAGATACCTTGGGTCATTGAGCCTGTCTACATCTCCCAGTGGGGGTGAGAAGGGCTGGAATATGGTATATGGTGGAGGTGTTTGGGTGGCAGTGGGCAGAAATTGTTGTGTGACGTTGTTGGCTTTCAGGTCTATGTGGATTATGATGCGTCGAGAAAAAAGAGACAGGAGGCATTTCAAGAGGATGCGTTTCCCTCCTTTTGATGATGAAGAGCCACCTTTGGACTATGCTGACAACATCCTAGATGTTGAGCCACTGGAAGCCATTCAGCTGGAGCTGGATCCTGAGGAGGATGCCCCTGTGTTAGACTGGTTTTATGATCACCAGCCATTAAGGGACAGTAGGAAGTGAGTGATAGTTGGAGTCCTGAGAGAGCAATATGTAATATGGCGTGGCGAGTTGGTATATCTACCTGATATGGGCTTCTCTCTTTATCTAGGTATGTGAATGGCTCCACTTACCAGCGCTGGCAGTTTACATTGCCTATGATGTCCACTCTTTACCGACTGGCTAATCAGCTTCTGACAGACTTGGTAGATGACAACTACTTCTATCTATTTGACCTGAAGGCCTTCTTTACCTCTAAGGCACTCAATATGGCCATTCCTGGAGGCCCAAAATTTGAACCTCTTGTTCGGGACATCAATCTACAGTAAGTTGGAGAGAAAGCTTTTAGTTACCTTCGGTTGAATAAAATTTAAGCTTGACCTTTAAGTTTCCATTGTAACTTTCAGACTCACCAATTAGTCTGCTCATCTTTTGATTTTGTGCCCTAGGGATGAGGACTGGAATGAATTCAATGATATTAACAAAATCATCATCCGACAACCTATCCGCACTGAATACAAGATTGCTTTTCCTTACCTGTACAATAACCTTCCACACCATGTCCACCTTACCTGGTGAGCACTGGAATAAAAGTGGGGGCAATTTGAAAGGTGTTTAGGAAAACCATGACCAAGTCTCCTTTCATTTCAGGTACCACACTCCTAATGTTGTGTTCATCAAAACTGAGGATCCTGATTTACCGGCTTTCTACTTTGATCCTTTGATCAACCCAATTTCCCATAGACATTCTGTCAAGGTGAGAGGAAGGGACATCAGATCTCAGTGCTTCAAAAAAAAATTTCCTGAGCATGGCTGAAGTGTACTAGATAAAAATCTAGCTAGAGGGAGACATGTTTTCCATCCCTCTAAGTGTTTCCCTGAAGATGTAAGTTAATTTGAGAGCTTGGCATTGGACTCAGTCCAAGTTGTTGGTATAATCTTGGTTTCTGTGATGATTCATTTGGGGTTCATCACTAGTCCTCTGGGGCTCTCTGTAGTCTATTCTGGTCTGTTTCCATTGTGTTCTTTTTCTCCACTCTTAAATCCTTTCATTGAGAGATAACTTACTGAGCATACACTTCACCCATTTAAAGTGTGTAGTTCAGTGTTTCTCTGTTTATTCAGAGTTGTGCAGTCCTTATCACAGGTGATAACTTACGTACTTTTTTTGTTATTCTAAAAAGATACCCTATACTTTACTGGAAGTTACTCCATTTCCACCAAGCCTCCCTTCCCAAGGCACCTTTTTTTTTTAATAATTTATTTTTTTAAGATTTATTTATTTATGCATGTAGAACTCAGGTATAGGCCAGAGGTGCAGGGGCAGTGAGAGGATTCTCCAGAGACAGAGTTGCAGAACAGGTAGATTGATGAAGTACACCGCTGAGGGGAGCAGC